CTGCCGAGAGGATTATCGCGCAGGCATCGTCGTTGTCGCGGGCGCTAACACGTTGTCTTCCAGCTTTCCAGTCGTCATGTCCGCTGGAACAGTTATTAACCGGCCATGCTCGAGGAGTGGTAGAAGGTAAATCGCTGATGCAGCCGCTGCTGGTACACCGGGTGTCGCGACACGGGAGACTGACGGGCGGCGACTCGGCGGAGTCCCTCTTAGGAGAAAATACGAAGCACCTGCAGGACTGGTCTGGAGCATACCGGGCAGCTTGGATCCTGATTCTCGCAGACCCGATTGCCGCAGTCCATGCAGAAGAGATTGTGTCCGCAGGGTACCAACGCCGCGGTGACTTCCTTCTCGCCGCAAACGACGCAGTCCCGTCGTGCGCCGCCCAAAAGCGAATCCGTGGGCGACGCCGGGCTCGCCGTCGCCGGCGGCGACGGCCTCGAGGGTAGCGCGACGCTCGGAAACGACCAGATTGACGATGTCGAGGTCGGCTGCGACTCGAATGACGGCGACTCGCCAATTCCTTCGTCCCTCTCTATCCCATTCCAAATAGCGACGAGGTCGTTCATCCCTATTCCACCGGTGCTGCTGGACGAGCTGCTGCAGCTGGCACTGCTCGAAAACGCTCCATTAGAACTGCTGGAGCTGTTCGATCCCGGTTGGTCCATACTTTGAATACCGAGAACAGAGCCGAGACCGCCGCGGCAGAGTACGCCCAGCAGATCAGTATCATCGACAACGCCGGGTGCAGTGCCGGTTCGCAGGGTAATGTGAGCCTGTATTTCGCGTCTGGCCGCTTCCACGCTTTCCGGTAGTCCCGTCACTTCGAACACAGGCTCCTTGTCGCGACTGGGTGTCACGATATAGGTATGCGTCTGATGCTGAATTCGTTTGATGGTCGCGCCTTTAGGGCCTACGACCAGACCCACTACTCTGTAGGGCACTCGTACCTGAATCGTTATGTGACCGGGCACCGTCGCCGGTGGTCCGGGTGGCGCGCCCAGAAGAGCTCCTAAGGAGCTTTTGCGCGACGCGCGAATCTGTGAGAAATGTTCCGCGGCGGAAAGAATCTCACGCTTCGCACGGGCCACGTCCTCCTTGCGACCGGTGACGACAAACACGGGTTCTTCACCGCGCACTGGTGTCTTGATATAGGTATTCGTCTTTGCTCGGAGGGCCTTGATCTTGCAGCCTGTAATCAAATAAAGACAAAAAAACGCTTAGCATTGTTAGCATAGATATTGTTGATTCTGTTCGATGATTCTATATCTACAGCTATCTGCCTATTTTTTATTTTTAAGCATAATTGATAAATGAATAATTGAAAAAAATATCAATATTACGTACTGTAGCGTAATGAGAGAAAATTGATTACAATTATTATGCTACTGCGCGCCCTCGTGGCACGCGAGTTTTTCTTTTATTTCTCTTTTATTTCGTGTCGGAGCACGAAACTGCCCGCATGCGCGTAATAAGCCTTCAAACGCAGCAGCGCGTCCGTGATGCAATTGTTTGCGTATTATAGAGGGGCACAGCGTGAAGGAAAGAACCGAGAGGAGAGAAAAGGAGAGGACTCGATGCAGTAGGCACACTGCGCGAGGCAAGAGAGCGGCAGGGTGCAGGAAACTGGAAGGAAGGAGGTCCCGACCCGGTCTGGTCCTCGGTCTCGCAGACTCTTTGGCCTTGAGCCAGCGCAATGCTAGCAATGCAGGTGAACCACTCCTCCCTCCTCCTCCTCCCTTCGCTCCTGACTCCACTCTGTCGGTTCCTTCTCGCGCTCATCCTGGGAACCTTCCGTTTCTCTTTCTCCGTCTCTATCCTTCTCAATCTCGTTCTATCCTCCACTCTCCCCCCTCTCGAGCCTCCCTTTCATTCAGTTCACTCTCTCCTTCGTCGATGGAAGGAGAGAAGGCGACGTACATATGTTGCATCGCATACCACGCAGCTTTTTTGTCTTTCTCTCTTTTGCGATCAGCGCCACTATACTACTCTCTCTCTCTCTGTCTCTTTTATCGCAATTAAATTTTGCATTTTTAAACGCGTGCCGTGTGTAAGAAAGCGAAAAACGACGGGCAGAATTCAGGGCAAAAGAGCGTGAGGGCGGGAGCAAGGCCACGGATAAATTCTTCGAAATTACTTTGTCCGCGCTAGCGCGGATAGAATGCACTTGAAAACTCGCCTCCCGGGTAGACGAAGGACGCACGAGGTCTAGCGATATCTTTGCGTATAAGCGTGACATGCGCGCGACAATGTCACGGACGGTATTTCCGTTTCTTCAGGGCCGCTGCGATGCGTAATTCTAATGTCGATACGGAACGGAACGTGGCGGTGGATGATTGGCGACACGCGTACAGCAAAGAAATTGACTGACTTGTCAGAGGGTATGAGAGAGGCCGTGTGAGAGGTTGTCCCGAGGGCGTGAATGCTATTAGACCCGCAATTCCATTTAGCTGCATATTACACGAGCCGCTGCAGGAACTCGATAAAACTCGTGTATGTATTATTTGTGCATACATTGAATATCTATTAAATATATGTTTATTTACCAGAATTGGAAATACCAACTTTTTTTTTTACTTTTCACGTCAGCGTGAACTATTTAAGCGTTTATTCGAAAGCATTTCGGTTTCGAAATGAAATTTTGGTATTTCTAGATACGCGGGTAGAAACTCCTCGAGGAGGGCTTTGCTCGCGTGCAACTTTAACCGCGTGTTCTCGCCAGCCGAGTTTCCGCTTCTCGAAGGTTCTCTCTGCCTTATTCCGGAAATTTGCCTAGGGCGAACCGGAGCGGCTTTGGTTCGGCTAAATAACTCCGCGTCGAGGTAGAGGCAGGTGGACGCGGTAGATCGGAGAATACCCGGGCGCGCGCGCGTGCACGCGTGCGTGCAAGCGAACTTGTGCACAGGTATACGATACGCGGCAGGAGAGCGAAGACCCGCCAAGGAGAGGAAGGTTGCCGTGCTCGTAGAACCTCGAGGAAGGTGGCGATGGTGGTTGGTGATGGTACCGATGGTGGTGGCACAAATGGAGAAAGAGGAGAAGGTGGGGCGTGGGTCGTAGACAGTTGAAGGGCCGCGGCCAAGGTGAGGCGAGACGAAGAGATAGGGAGAGAGAGAGAGAGAGAGGGGGGGGGGGGGGGGGGGGGGAGATCGGGGACCCTTTGCTTTGTTCGCTTCGTCTAAGGGACGAGAGAGGACGAGAAGAGAGAATCGAAAGGAACGAGTCCGGGACCTTTCGGTTGGTCTTTCTTGATCCGCCGCGCCGTGTTCCGAACGTACCGTGGAATCGTAGACCAGCGAATCCGGATTCGAATCCGGACTCGATCTCAAGTCAACTTGGGTTGCATAGAGTGCGCAACGATTTAGAGACTTCAGTTCGTTCAAATGCAGTCGCACGACAAAGATGATTCGGGAAGGTTTCAACCATCGTAAAATAATAATTGCCAACGAGGTAACCGCAAATTTAATTCTTTCTTGTTCGTCGAAGAAGGCTTGTTATTCATGACTGATGTGTATAAGACACGTTGATCCTCGGGTGTGAGTATAATCGTAAACGAATGCTACTCGATGAAGTTGTGTCTCTCCATTCCCACGATACATCACGCGTCCGTGACGTTGCTAAAATCCGCAGCAGCAGCAATAGCGACGGCAGTAGCGGCGGGGGGGGGGGGGGGGGGCGGG